GCCAAGGCCTATTTTTTTCAACATAATTTTCTGTTTTATCTGTGGCTTTATATCACTGACATGCGAGACCCTGTGTATTTTCATGGTACCAAGTCCTTTTACAATCATGTTTTTACTTCAGAAATTATTTTTTGTTATCCTCAAACTTCTTGCCATGAATTATATTTATCAAAGAACTAAATAGATATTAATCGGAGGGAACAAGATTCTAGATTAAGTTGAATCTGGCAGTTTAATTCACTGAAGTTTTATAATGGCATTTCGAGTGTGATAATTAAGATGCATCCCTATATGTATCTTCATTATCTTGATATTCTTTTTCTTCTCATTATTAGCTTTTTTGATAAGAAAGAAAAAGACATTTAGTCTTATAGCAAAAATATATAAAGAGTGAGTTAAAAGTTGCTTAATACACTTATAAATCAATCTGAGTTGGGAAGGAAAAATTTTGACATTATAGAAACATGTTATATAGGGGTAACCATTTTTTTTATGTGTCAGTTGGATAGCTGCATTTTGAATAGAGCTCAAATGTTTAAATGGTAATGGAGTCACTTAATACATGATGAGACTAGAATTTTGAGAGAAATGAAATGATTCATTTGTTCTTCACCTATCACTTGTAAAAAGTTATAAAGAAATGAATCTAACCAATTTCTTCTTTGTAGGTGTGTTAAACAATACTGAGATTCCTCTAATGTGTGAATAATGATTCCAGATCATCATGATGTCTAGGGAGAAAAGTTCATTTAAAACCCAGATCATGGGTTATATCTTTGACTGATCCAGTTTCTCAAAACTTCTGCAGCAATTGTACAACTGCCACATGCATCACAATATCTATAGGAATATTATTGATTAAAATCATTTTCAATTTCATGTGAACTTCTCTCCTCCAGACATCAGAATGATTTGGATTCATTATTCACAGATTAGAGGCATCCCTCTTGCCCTCTTGGCATTGTTTAACACACTTAGAAAAAGAGAAATTGGTTAGATTTATTTCTTAATAACTTTTCACAGATTAAAGTTAGGCAGAGAATAAGTGCACTATTACTATTACTCACTATTTCTCAAAATTATAACCTCATTTCATGTATCATATGATTCCACTTCCATTTAAACATTTTGAGCTGAATTCAAAATGGTGGCCACTTAGTTGACATACATACAAACATGGTTGTCTCCAGGCATTGTTTCTAACTTGTTTCTATTATATTTTATAAGGGTGTTAAACAACTTTGACTCATCCTGAAAGTAAGAATGAATGATTCATTCCATAATCTGTTGTCACTAATCTTTCTTGTTTTTCGTTGTTCTTTAGCATAATTATATTATTGGTTGACATGGGATAATTGTAATTTTGTTTCTATTTTATTATAGTCATTATCTGGTAGAAAATGATTCATTCTTGTTTGATCCATGTAATTAGTAGATTCTCTAATGGCAAATCATTTTGAAAATGTTTTGCTATAGATTTTTTTTAATATTAAACTAACAAAATTGAGCCAAAAAGTTCAAAGTTCTGAGCTAATTCTATTAAATATTTTGCAGTTGAATGTTGAGTGTTTTTTTTAATCTTGATTGAATCTCTCTTCTTTAGAATAATTGTACTTGATTATCATTATCTTGAAATTATAAATATTTTTGTCATATGGCAAATTTTTTTTTTATTAGCTGATCATAGTTCTGTACATTTATATTATCAAGAAGATATAAAATAAAAGAGAAATAATAAATTTTATGTAAATAATAATATAAAAAAATAATTAAAATAATTGAAGATTTGTCTTAAAATGACAATAGTATAGGTGACTGTAATAGATAAAGTGATTATAAACTATTATAATTGATAATTTATTTACCATTGTAATAACATATAAAATTATGAACCATTATAGTTTTGTAACTAATATTTGAAAAAAAATATAACTTGTATTTGGAGCAATACAATATTGATATGATTTAAATTTTTTAATTTAATATTTTTTAATTTAATTGGATTCATATAAATGAATTACATTACCCTCATTCTATAAAATGATTATTTGAAATTTAAATTTATTATTATTATTCATATCTAATTTGAATAAGTAAAACAAAACTACAAAGATAGCTTGTTATAGAAGTCATAAATATGATTCTGTAATAAGTGACTTTTTTATTAATCTATTAAATGTTTTAAAGTATATTTTCTCCAGGATTTACATTAAACGTTAAAAATATGTATGAGGGATTTTTGAAAGTAAAGTAACATATTTGTTTTTTATAAAAAATTTAATGATAGAATGTTGACAGTATACAAGAAGAATTAAGGAAATATAAACTACTTTTTCACATAGTCTTCATAGTTATTGAGACACTTGTGCCAACAGTCATTCAGTTTATTTATAGTGTTGAAGTCAGAGTCCAAATTCCTGAACAACCTTTGAATTTTCCAGGAACATTCTCATCTGTATTGAAATGTTTTCCCAAAAGATGTTTTCTCAGGGGGCTGAACAAATGATCAGGCAGTGCCAAATTAGAGCTGTATGGGGAATGAGGCATAGTTATCCAATGATCGTGGCACATCCAAGCATTACTGTGCACTGTGGGGACTGGTTTCATTGTGCAACAAAAGAACTCCATCGGTCAGGAGCTTGGATTATTTGCAGCAAATGTTTGTTTTTTAATGATTTTTGCTTGAAAAAATTTGCAGATGCCCATGGTAGACTACTCTCACACAGTGCCACTATCTTGTAACTAAACTCAGCTGCTGATGGCAGCACCATTTTATTTGCCTTGTGATCATTTCAAAGATTATGAACAGGACTATCCATCCACCTTGTTTCAGCTCATTCCTTCCTACCATTCTTGGAAAAAAATGTGTTACTTTACTTTTAGACAACCTCTTCTTATTATCAGAAATAATCAAATAAAATGTATATTTATTATTTATTTATATAAATTTTTATTTAACTTATATTATATTATTTATGTATGAAAGTTATCCCAGAAAATACTATAAACAAAGTTTTGTCTCATTTACAATTTATTTTTTTAAGATTTCAAGTATATAATATTACTTGAATCTTTAATTATCACAAATTACTATATTTTTTAACATATATGAAAATATAAAATTGCTTGCTTTAGGAAATTGAAAATATTTGTTATGCGATGTTTTTGGTCTCATTTAACAAAATGTTTTATTTCATATCCTATTATACACATTCAGTTTACATGTACAGTACATTTAAGATGGTCTGAAGTGAGACTGCAAATGTTCTATAAAGAACCTTTTCAGTATACTACAACAAGAAATTTTATGTTTTGATTTATTTTTACTATGATGCCAAGGCCTATTTTTTTCAACATAATTTTCTGTTTTATCTGTGGCTTTATATCACTGACATGCGAGACCCTGTGTATTTTCATGGTACCAAGTCCTTTTACAATCATGTTTTTACTTCAGAAATTATTTTTTGTTATCCTCAAACTTCTTGCCATGAANAAAAAAAAACAATATTTTTATAATAAATAAATATTTTATTGAATTATATATTGACCATTTTGGTCAAATACCTGTTGTCATTGTTTCTGGTAATAGCATGATTTCACATTCATAAAAGTTTTGATCATTGCTTACAAAAAACTGATCCAAGAGATTTTTGACATTGTCATTTCAAGTAAATGTCTTACAGTTAAAAAAAAATTTGTATAGACCGGAACAAGTAATAATCTGAGTGTGCTCGATCTGCGAATATGGTTGGTGTGATAGCATATTCCATCTAAGTTATAACAGTTTCTGACAACTTACCAAACTTGTGTGAAATTTGACATTATTGTGGAAAAACACTACACCTGTTTTGTTGATCAATTCTGGCCGCTTTTTCTGTTTGATGATATTACTCAATTTGCTTACTCGATGGCAGTACACTTTTGAATCAATTGTTAAATTGTCTGGTAAAAGCTCCAAAAAAAAATTTTCTTAAAATCCCACACCAAAGAGAGCATCTCTCTTTAAGAACATGTGGAACCCATACATTGAGCTTTGAAACAAAACCAGTTTGTTTCAAGTAATCATAAACACTTCAATTTGACAAATTTAATCTCTTAGTGATTTCACATGTTGTTATTTGGCAGTTTGCTTCAATCAGTACCTTTATTTTGTTTTCATTGGCTTCAACTGGTCATCCAGAACATGGTGCATCTTCAGTATTGAAATTGCCAGAACGAAATTTTGTAAACCAGTTTTGGCACTGTCATTCTGTCAATACATCTTCTCCATACATGTCACACAATTTTTTTCTCGCTTGAACAGCATTCTTATCTTTTCGGTAATAAAAGAGCAAAATATGCCGAAAATGCTGCTTTCAACAAGATATGATATTTGATGGGACACAAAAAATAAACAATTGCACAAAATCAAACGAAATTTTTTACAAATAAGCCTTAAAATGCTAGCTGTCAAAATATATAATGATAATACAGTTTAGAATGAAAATGGCAGGAAAAATACAACTAATCTGTCTAGTGATAAAAAAAAAATGAAATTACTTTCCAAACAACCCAATATTTTATTTAGTTTTAATTATTTATTTTATCAAATATTTTATTATTGTTGTTCAGTTTAATTTTATTAAACTGAAAAATGATAATAGAATATTTGATAAAATAAATAAATAAAATTAAATTTTGAATAATTTTTATAACATATAAAGACATTAAATACATTTATACATTATAATTGTCTATGTGACAATTTAATCACAATATCATAACTGTATTATAATAATAATAAAAAATTATTTTAAAACTGTTCCTATTGACAAGAGTTGTTTTTCAATGTTGTTGAAAGTTTTCAAAATTATGAGAGATGCTTCAGTGTTTTGAAATTAAGCTGTCATTATTTGAAGCTCTCGTGCTAACCTTCAGAATCACATTTTTGAGGTAATTGAGTTTGAATGTTTGAAAAAATTCTAAAATGAAAAATTCCAAAATGATGAGCTGACAGCCACATCTACAGGCAATGTTTGGTGAGTGAAAACATTCATACAATATTTACACACCTATTCATACAATTTTATGATTTTTTTCAAGCATTCAAACTCAATTACTTCAGAAATGTGATTCTGAGGATTAGCATTATACATCCCTGAGGGCTTTATTTGAACCTATTCTTTACATGTTTGAAAGATATATTTAATAAGAAAGCAGGTTGAACCAGTTCAATATTTTAATTGATTACTTTACTGTTTTAGGTGCAACATTTATAAAACTTATTTAATTTTTGTTATTGTATATTGTTCAATACAAAAAGTTTATATTTTAGGATATTGGCGTTTATTGGATTTTGATTATATGACTCGAGTTTTCACTTTTATTTTAAATCTTGTGGATTCTAATTCTTGGCCAATTAATGAGATACCGGAAATGAAACTATTAGATACTTTAGAAGATTTAGAACCAAGGTTTTTATACTTTTTTTTTTGTAATTTTTCAAATAAAATACAAACATTTGACTTCAATGTTTATTTTTTTAAATTGTTATAAACATAAGATTAACTATAGTTTAATGATTTTTAAAGTATAATCTTTTTTGAACAAAATTTAAAACTTTTGTCAAAAATTATTGAGAAATAACTGGTTTATATTTCAAGATGTAAAAATTTCAAGTTTTAAATTTTATTGACTATTTAATTATTATTTTTTCTTTGTCATAGGTATAACTAGTTCATTATATATCTTTAAAATACTGCGAATATTCATTTGTTTAGATAATGTAAACTATTAATATCATTATAACATTTTTTTTATAAATATGAAGATTATCCAGTAAATATCCAGACTAATTTTATTAGTTCACAAATATTATACTTAGAAATTACAAGCATTATTTTTCAACATAAATCCATGGCAGTTTTTCAGTTAGTCCAACAGCTTCTGTATTCTGGCAATGTAGAATTTTGGTTCCATCTTGTCCTGATGTAATAAGCTGTGTTTTTAGCTTTGTTTTGATAAGCTATTTGTTTAATGTGTGTTTGAGCTAAAAACACAAAATAATTTGAAAATTGCAATGTTTTAAAATCTGTAGGTAACATGCGTGCTTACTTGAAATTTAAAAAATATCAAATAACAAAGTTTACACTTAAAAATTGTGAACTTTTGTACAGAGAATTTCCAAAACCATGTTGCAGTGAAACCAGAGGACATGTTGTACATGGGATACTTGTATCTATTTATTTTATTTGTTTTAGTTTATTATTAAAAAACAATGCTGTTTATTTTATATTTTTGTTATATTGTGGATCTATTTTTAAATAGTTCTAATTAAATTTTAATATTTGTTGTAGGATATTAACTTATGTAAGTAGGGAAGTAACTAAAAATAAGATTTGTGTATTATCTTTAATTGTATCCATTAAACTACATTTTTTTAAAATTAAACTTATCAAATAGTTAATAATAATTTTATTTTTCTGATATATTTGTTTTAAAATGTTTTAGAGAAATTGTAAAACAATCTTTATATTGGTTTGCTGATTTCACTGAGAAAGTTGATGATGATGGTATGTACTATTGAAAATTATCTTTATTTATATTTTTGTAAATTACGTATATCTATTTGTGATCAAATGTTGAACTTCAATAAAGGTATATAAGAATAAATGAGAAATAAATAATTGAAAAGTTACACAATTTTGATTAGATGAAAAATAATATAGTATATGGTAGAAACTGTTTTATCTGGAATAATGTTTGGAAGAAATATGCTCAGATAATTGAAAATCATAGATAATAGAATTTACATTTATGGTACTATATTTTCATTTATTTGACAATATAAATTCAACATAAAACTTCTCAGCTTTAATGCATGATTAATTATAAATATTTTTGTCTTAAGGTAACACATTTCTGCATGAACACAGACAATATTTCTATTCATTTGTATGCAGTCTACAATTTTTTAATATTCTTGATGCTAGTTGATTGAATTTATGTTAATCAACCAGTATCAATGTCATATGGTTAACAGAGTTTCTACTATATCAATTATAATGGGTGTTTGTGAGATATTATTAAGTTGTCCTGTCAAGAAATAAGGATTTCTATATGAAATTTTTCACTTTCTACAAGGAAATCATATAAAGAAATATCAAAAATTATGAATTTTTATATTATTAGATAATGAAGACAATTTAAAATAGTAATTATATTTTATAAATATTTATAAACTATATAAATATTTATTTATTTATTTATTTATTTNTCTGTTTTTTGAATTTATTTAGTTTATTACATTATTCTTATATAATTGATAGTTCCTCATTTAATTTTTAAATTATATTTTTACAAGTTAGAACCTATAAATTATTTGACTATATATATAATTGCATACAGTGGGTGATCGGTTAACGAACAAACAGATAATGAACACTTTCGCGAAAGATTTTTATGATCGGTTAAATATATATAGATAAGCAGAAAAAAATTATTTTTAATGTATATAAAAAAATTATTTCAATAATCATGGGTTACTGTGTTCTTAGCATCAATACAATACTACTCATTTTACTGGATGTAAAACTCAAACACACTGAACCAAAAATATCCAGTAGGAACAAACTTTAATAAACCAAACATTTTCAAAGATTTTAAGCAGTCATCTTCAGATTGTGCTGAACTTTCTCAAAGTTGGACTTTTTAATATAGTGCAGACATCATCAATGACTTGTTCTTTTCTGACCAATAGAACTGCAACTCTTTCCATTTTGTAAATTGTTTTAGCTTCCTATTTACGTTCTCTGATAACTTAACCTGAAGATAACAGTTTAAAACCATCAAAAATGTTTGTTGGGCTGGAATTTGAAAAAATTGTAGACCTATACATTTCCAATGTTATCCATCTGTCCTTCCTTAATCTCAAGAACATAGTTAGACAGATGAAAGCTGAGACCAGATATGGAAAGATTAGGGTCTGGGGCGCTGATTAACTATATACAAACTTCTGATACAAACTGGAAGTCATGTTATTTCAGTTAAAAGTTTTCCCCTGAAAGAAGTTAGATAGATGATCATCATGACCATATTGCTAACAGGAAAAGTATGATGCACAAGGGCATGTTACTACTAATTTGAGGTGAAGAGCATATATTTTAAATTAAATTTAAAAAATATGGTTAAAAATTGTACTCTAGCATTGTGACTATGTCACAATAAATAATTGCTCTTTTAGTTTATTAAAGTTTGTTTTTGCTGGATATTTTTGTGTGTTTATTTTAACAGTTCTAACATCTTTAATATCAAATATTGTATTATAAAAAATGTATCATTTTATGAAAAGATTTTTGTAGTATTGTACAAGTGTATTATGCTTATAAATTATAACCAGAAACATATATTGATTACATACTATTTTCAAAAGTCAGTCAATGATGCAATATTATTAGTAATTGCATTATCCTATTTGGACTGTAAAAAAGGCAGACCACCTGAGCATGCTGTCAGTTTTTACATTGCACCAGGTTTAGTTTCAATGAAAAAAATGCTTACAATTAATCTTTGTGTAAAAAATAAAACTGTAAAGTGATTTTTATTTGATTGGCAAAATTGGTTTATACTACAAAACTTGGAGAGCAAACTTTTTTAGTATTGTACTGGTGGAGTGATTTGGAGTGATTACTAATGAAAAAAATTCTTTTGAAACAGCATCATGTTACATATTTGCACTGCTTTTTTGTATTTTCTGTTGATTCACTGTCAGTGTGGACTAACTAACCTGAAGTGAATATATGATTTGCTATTTCACAGTCTTAGTAATTTCTTAAAATTTTTTCATTTAAAAGTGAATAATGTATATGTGAGAAAAAAGTACTGTAAAGTACTGGGGTTTGCAGTGCATAGTGCCAAAATTGCCACTTGGCAATATTTTTATTAAAGTGGCAATAAAAATATAATACTAGTGATAGCAAGTGGTGATAAAAACCCTAATCTGCTGAAATTGAATTACAAGTCACACTTCAGGAAAAACAACAGAATGTCGAGCTTCTGAGCAATGGGAATCCCATGCTCCACACACCTAGCAATTTCATGACATCACGTGGCAAGTTCAGGCATAAAAATAGGAACTGAAGTTGAGAATCAAAGACAGTTTTGTGCAATGTCACCCGGCATTTCCAGATTGGAGATTTTTTTATTGACCAACAGAAAATTTGGGGAATTTTTTGGGGTGACTTTTTTCACTTTGATCTTTTTTCAGTAGATTAAAACAAAAAGAATTTTGATATGATAGAACTTGTGAAATACTGTTTAAACAATGTGATCAAATCTGTTGTTCAGAATTATTCATTAAAATATTATTAAAAAATGATTCCTATTGCTAATGAATAGGGCCAGATGTTCAGGTCTTTAATTTGAATGAAACTTGGTGAGCACATAGCCTTATACACAAACAGTTCTTTGTCCAAATAATAGGACACACTTCTTAAACATTTCCAAAAAACAAGCCTAATAACTAATTACAAATCAGTTATTTGATAAGTTTGAAGCTGTTAACTATTTTTAAAACATTTTCTAAAATACCTATACACATTTGTCAGTTGTAGTAAGCAGTTTACAGTTATAAATTTAAACTTAAAGTGATGGTCTGTTGTTGTTTTATTATATTGTTCCAACTGAAAACATCCAAGTAATAAAGCAAAAGTGTTTTTAATTCTGTTTTTTGAATTTATTTAGTTTATTACATTATTCTTATATAATTGATAGTTCCTCATTTAATTTTTAAATTATATTTTTACAAGTTAGAACCTATAAATTATTTGACTATATATATAATTGCATACAGTGGGTGATCGGTTAACGAACAAACAGATAATGAACACTTTTGCGAAAGATTTTTATGATCGGACAACGAACACTTGACTGAACAAACACAAGAAGGAGCGACATAAAATAACGAATATCAATTGGTCTTCCTTTCGAATTGTTGTCTGAAGACAACAATTCGAAACTTTTCGGAGCGCGGGAGACATCGACGTTCTACCCAATATACTGATCAGATAGTATTTCCCCAAACTTTGAAACACTCCCTTCAAATTCCAGCCTTTTATATTTCTGACAGAAACAATTCTTTTATGTTTTCTTCTGAAAATGTGGATTTATGCCGATATCTGCTATTAAAAATCTTTTGAAGAAGTGGGTGGATGTCAGAACAACGGTTTTAAAATGGCATCCAAACCAGATTGAGGTTAATAGGCCTAGGGATCTCTACAATTACAATGTTATTAATTACTTCTGAAAAATCATGAAGAGGACAGAAAAGCAATCGACATTGGACAGATTCTTTAACCCCACAAACGGAAAAAAACATGACTAATAAAAATGCAAGACCGTGTATATATGTATTTTTATTATTACATATGAATAAACGTAGTAAGAAAGTATATATTTTTTATTTTTTATTTTTTGAGGTCTCCAGAACGAATTAATCAAATTCCCATAGAAACCTATGGTAAATCAATAATTGGTTAACGAACAATTCGGATAGCGAACAAAGTCTTGGAACGGATTATGTTTGTTAACCGATCACCCACTGTATTTTGTATATGAATGACACTAAATCTAATATTTAATGCAAATGCTGTTGCTGTATTTGCAAATTTGTTACTAATTCTTACAAAATTTAATATATGACCTAAAGCATATTTATCAGTTTAATTTAGTTAGTTTTGAATTTTCTGTTGATTTTTCAATATTCTTGTCTATTAAATGTTTATAAATTATTATTTCACTTAGGTGATAAATTTTTTAAACTAAATGAAAGGAAAGTTTGCCGATTTTATGCAGAAATATTATTACGACCAGCTGGAAAGGTATTTATGTTTAAACATTTATAATTATCTTCTTATTATAAATTAAGATATTTTAGAAGTGATACAAAAGTAACAAAAAGGATGTAAGCAAGAACTACATTGCAAATACAGTTGAATTTAGTTAATGTGAAGTATGAGATTTTACCAAGAAAAATTACTACTTTCTTTTTCAAAAAAGAAAGAGAAATTGTTTGGAAACATGGTCAAAATTTAAAGTCAAGACTAATCTCCAATTTTTATAAATAGTGAATTCTTGCTTTAATGAAAATCTAAAATAAAATCTAATGCATCTTGATTATCAAACATATTGGCTCATTTTCGTAGATGTTTACTTAACATGAAGAATAGTTACAGGTGTACAGATATATTATCCATAAAACATAATGTAATAATTTTTAAAAAGTCAGTTTATTCTTGATACAATGTTTTTTTGACTATAATATGTTATCATCAGATCCAAATTTAGTAATGTCATTAAAATTGAATGTTTGTTGTTTTGTTTGTTTATTGTTGGATAAACAGTCAGGAAAGAAGTTTGGGTCTTAACAACTAATTACCTTTCTTTAGATATTTTCTACTTCTTTATTTGTTTTTTATCTTCATCTTCCTCATTTCTCCATTTATGAAACTTTGTCATTTCACCTATGGATTATTCATTTATTTGTCATCCTTCCTAAATTCTTATAAAAATTTGCCCCAAGCTTTAGCATAATATATGTTGACACTATCTTTTTCTCTCTATTCTTTCCTTTCCTTGTCTTTACTTTTAGACCTATTTTCCCAAACTTTCTCTTTCCAATTCCATGTTTTTCTGCTATTTTTTGCAACAACTGTAGCTAATTTAATATTTCTAAATCTGATATGGGTAATTCAAATTGAATGGAATATAAATTGGTATAAACATCCTTTTTGTCTTACAGGTTGACAAGAGTATTGAAGAATATAAGTCTAAGAAATGTACTCGTTTCTCTGACTTCTATTTAAGCTTCAATATAAAACTGCCTTTTTAAAATCTATTAAAAAGTTTGAAGATTTAATTAATCTATTTTTTATTTTCATATAACAAGCTGCAGCAAATCTTCTATGTATCTTCTATAAAATTATATTTCATTCCCAAATTCTTCTATCACTTTTCTTAGTACTAACTCTAAAAATGTATCTACTATTAGCTTCTCTATAGCAAGTGCATTAATGGAATTAGCATTATTTTATTTACAAGTTAAAACATTTTTATATAGAATTTCTGGAGGGGAAATATTTATAATTAGACTTACTTGATAAAATTAATAATTCTTTGGTGATTAGACATATACAAATATTTACAAAAAAATATTAATAGAAAATACAGTTGTACTGCATGCTTATATTTCTAAATTTAACATTGTTGCACTGTTGTATGTACTGTTGTAGTAATTCTGTTTATCTAAATTGCTTTTATAATTTTTCTATTAGGCTTTCTCTTCATGAAATGTAATTATAATGTATTTATTGGCTTCAGTTTCTTGTATTTTTCAATGCACATGATCATTTTCATTCCAATTATGATCACAGGGTATTCTACATTTATTATAGTTTGCTTTTTATGGTTATATTAAATATAAAAAAAGTGTATCCAAACTTAATTTACTGACTTCATTTCCAAAAGAAGTAAGATGTTTTATGATGATATTTATTGTATAAATGTTATTACATAGTAACAATATACCAACTGCTATAAATCATCAGGCTATAATTTGGAATAAATAATTATAAATTACAAATGAATTTGGGACTAGAGGGGAGGCATTAGGCACCATCTTGTATTAAAATTAATAATGATAATAAATATTTTTAAATATTTAATGCTAAAACCTTTAGATCACCTATATGTATTAGATTAAAACAAAAAAAATATTCAGTATAGTGGAAAAATCCATTTTTGTTAAGATTGTTAATAACTGAATTTCTAGGAATATTTTTACATGACACTTTTATCATTTTAAATAAACAAATATTTTATATTTTATTTATTTTTTATATATTTTTTCAAATATAAGAACAACTATTTCAGTGGAAAGTGCATCAAGTAGCACCAATATCCATGTAATCAGTTATTCCTAAAAAACAAAAAAAATAATTGAAAAAAAATTCATTTCTTACAATCATTTTCTTGTTCCAGTTTTGTCCACAGATATATCTATGATGTAAACATCACAACTACAGGAGCAGGAGATTAATGAGTGTATCCTAGTGTATGAGTGTTGGATTTGTTATAAAAAAGATATATATATATATATATATCCTCCTAAGTAAATATATAATATCTAATAATATCTAATTGATAATATCTAATATCTAATATCATCTAATAATCTAAATAATATCTAATTGAGATGATAAATTTTTTCATTCCTAGAAATGTGAGAAAGATGTGTTATTAGTAAGTATATATATATTTACTTAGGAGGATATATATATATATATATTTCTAGCAATGAAAAAATCATCTCAATTATCACAATGCTTTTGCCCCTGAAAGAGACTAAAAACGTTTGTGATAATAAATTTTTTATAGTTGGAAACATGAGAAAGGTGTGCTATTTGTACATTACTAGTTTCAGTTTCTATAAAGTGATTGTGTTTATAATATCTTCATCTGGTTCTTCAAGGTCATCTGGTGAAGATCTTGATGCTTAAGTAGAAGACAGGCAGGAACATTTAATTTTTTGTGGATGCAAAATGCAAATGTTCATCCACGTATGAGGCCACTTAATGATACAAAAACTGGATATTCAGTATATGTCAATGAACAGTTCACAGAATTGGATATATTTAAAGTACTATTTATTGATGACAATATCAACATAATTGTTAATGAGAATTCTTCATACTTGCAAGAACTGTGGAAATAATTTAATAGCAGCTAGTGTGGTAATAGCTAGAGTGACATTGATGTTGCTGAAGCACTGGTATTTTTATCTCTTCATATGATAATGGGATATATACCAAAAAACAACTTGAGATTATTGGAGTATGGATCTGAAAATTAATATCCCAGTTTTTTTAGACTTGATCTGAAGAAATCATTATAAATTAATTTCAAGAATGTTGCATTTTGCTGTCTGGGTTGTGACACATTGTACAGACTGTATAAAGTGTAAAACATTTTCAACAACATAGAAGACATGGAAAACATTTTTCACACTATGAAAATTTGTGTATTGATGAGTTGCTCTTTCTTTGGAAATGACAATTAGTATTTTGATAATACATACTAAAAAAGATTCTACTACTAAGAATACATACTAACAAAGATTCAGGATCAAACCTGTGTTGGCAGACAGCAATAATAAGTATATATTCAACATCATAATTTACATGAAGAGGATCACAGATTTATCTGACAATTTTGGACAATTCAGATTATTGAGCTGTAGTTATAACTCTAATGGAGGATAACTTTGGAAAAAACCACAAACTTTACATCAACAACTATTGTACTAGCCTCAAACTACTTTGAAAATGTGGAACTGTAAAAAAATAGGTATATCTCTCTCCAATGACCAGAAAAAATTGAAGCAAGTGGAGCTAAGTGTATTTCACATGGACACTGTATTATATGAAAGATGGATGGACAAGAGAGAGATGCAGATACTATTAACCTTTCTAGAACATAAGATGGAAGAGTTGCTATGAACATTTGCACCACACCTAAAATTAATCAATGATGTAATTTGGCTTAGACATTTTTGGTGTTATCTTACTGTACATTAAAATTGAATTGTAATTGTTAATGCAATTGAGTAATTTTGTGACTATCTAGAGCAGTGTTCTGTACCCTTTTTATGGTTCGTGGATGTCTGCCAATTTGTGTTTCTTTGCAAGCTCTTGGTGTATTATATTTGCTACTTGATTATGTCTATGTAAGTAATCTGTCTGTGCCAAGAGCTTGCAACCAGAAGTGATGTGTTGTATAGTTTCTGGCATGATATGACACTTTCTGCATGTGTTATTTGTGAGTGTTGTATCTTTGAGTATGTGTTTTCTGTAGTTTTTAGTATTTATGACCTGATCCTGTATGGCAATCATGAATCCTTCCGTCTCCCCAAAGANTGCATTTTTATTAGTCATGTTTTTTCCGTTTGTTGGGGATTAAAGAATCTGTCTAATGTCGATTGCTTTTCTCTCTTCTTCAAGATTTTTCAGAAGTAATTAATAGCATTGTAATTGTAGAAATTTCCAAGCCTGAATCACAACCTCACCCTGGTTTGGATGCGATTCTAAGACTGTTGTTCTGACATCCTCCCACTTCTTCAAAAGATTATACTTTTTAAATAGCAGTTATCGGCATTAATCTTCTTTTTTAGAAGAAAACATCTTGGAGAGTTTATTGGTGTTCTTCATTCAAGAGTTCTTGTTCTTCTGTCGTCAGATCCGTTTTAGGTTCCATTATGAGTTCTTCAATGTTCTTTATTTCTCAGATGTAATTTAACAAAAATTACATCTGAGAAATAAAGAACACTCCTTGTTACTCCTTTAGCTGCTTGAGTCTTCTTGATTATACTGTATCTTTCTTAGATAAGATTTAACTGCGGCCTACTGTACCAAAAAATTTGTACAATGATTTAAAATATATTATTTTATAAAAATGCATTGTAAGTCATATGTAATGTATGCATATTAAGAATTTTGATACTTTCATAATTGAAAATAGATTTTAAAAATATTACAAAAAGGGTTTAATTTTTATATAAATTTCTAACATTCCATTGTTACCTATTCCATCAGTATTAACAGGTATCAAAGAAGCTTTCAACCAAAAACTGATTTGTCTTTTTCAATTGTTTTGTTACCAAAATTTACTATGTATCCATCTAACATAAAACTTTCAATCGCTGCAAGATTATATATGCAATGTAGAATTCATGATCTGTTTGAAAATCAAGCAGTTATATATATTAGAACAACCAGCCTGATGATGATCTTTTAAAGATGGAAGAAAATGTTTGCTTTTCAAGTAAGTGTTTGTTTTACTGGTTTTAATGGCTATTGAGCTAAGAGTTTTGTTAAAATTGATTAAAATTTTTGAGATGCTCTTCATTCAATTTTTATTAAAGTAAACATTTTTAAAAAAAATTGAGAGTAAAATATTTATTGCTAGATCCAAAAGTGAAGTAGTTTTGATCTAAAAATTATGTTTATGATTATTATAAATAACTTGGCTGGCAGGACAGTTGAGATAGTAAAGGCGTTAGTCTGCGATCCAGAGTGACCCATGTTTTGATTCATAGGTCAGATCCTCAAATTTTTATGACTGGTTTTATCCAGAACCAATTCTGACACTTATAATTTGTAAATACTTTGGGTCAGACCATCATTCCTCAAATCAATGCGGAGTCTTACATTGAGGTTATTCATATTAGGCTTATTTGTTTTGTTGAATGCCACACAATAATAGTAACTACAATGGTCAATATAATGCAGTGGTTCTCAAACTTTTTAAAAAGATGCCCTTTTTATTATTATTTATTTATTATTATTTTTTTTTTGTAAAAATATTCTTATACTTTCCTACAGTTTTCTTAAAAGCATATAACAGACCTATATTTTTCTTATGTACTTTGTTACAATAAAATTAATATTCTTTTCATTTTTTGATAGTACACAATTATATTTAAAATTTGTATGGCTGTAAAATATAGGAGGCATTCTTAATTGCATCCTATTTCTTACAAATTATTCAACCAAATTCATTACAGAAAAAATTTGTTCAACATTAGCATTACTGAGAGGAGGAGTTAAAATTCTAAGAGGAAATCTAGCCAAAAATATTTGTTGGTTATCTGCATCACTGGAATATTTTGTTTAAAATACATTTATCATTTGCATTCTAAGGTACAGTACACTCTTCCATTGGCATTCTAATTATGAATATTTTGATCACTAATATCAAATTATCAATCAAATTTAAGGACAATTCTTTAAATTTAGGCCTGAAATGGTCCTTTTCAGTTGATGGACAAGTCTCGTCAAGCCAATTTTCCTCTAAAAATCAAAGGACAAATCTGACTCATTCACAATTTTACATGTTATTCTGTATAACTGCATGGCTTAGACTCATTTGGCCAATTGCAGAGACGGGGTTTACGTTAAACAATGTTTAACAAGTTTAACGGCATCTAGACATTGGCTGGCTGAACTGCAGTTTAAAATGCATTGCAAAGATGACTGTCGTCTATTTCTGAACACCGTCTAAACCAGGAGTTGCCAAACATTTTTGATTGTCAACCCCCCACAGCTTTTTGAAACCTCACATCAACCCCCACCAAAAAGTTTGTGTTATAAGCAAAGAAAAAGCTCTTAGTATTTTAATATATATCTTTTAATTTACATTTATACATTTTTTCATTTATTGTACAGTACATATGTTAATAATAATTTTTGTAAATGACAATCAATGAGACAGATAAGCTTGATAATTCTTAGCAAGATTCGGTTTAAAATTTGTAAGTTTTCGTGTTTTCATTGACCCCACCAATAATGTTATATCAACCACTTTGGCAATCCCTGGTCTAAAAGAACCTTGGCAAAACATTGGCTCTTACTTTCTTTGCTGTTACTCCCCTCTTTTATAAGTCATTCAGCCAATCAGGTTTTTCATTTAGGACATCAGAAAAAACTCCGATAAGGTCACAAGCTATATTCTGAAAGCTTCCAGAACATAAATCTTAAGGCCATCAACAATTGTTGTTCGGCAGTTAATTAATCACAATCCTTTTCCATTTTGATGTTTAATTTCATCAACAATAAACGATTTAAAATAGGAACAAATCCAGATTTAGAAAATTTATACCGAATTTGAAATACGTCTTCGGAATAGATTTTTAAGGAATTATTCTGACATTGTATTACTCTCTCCCTTTATAATTGTCATATAATGAATAATTTTAAATATCTTGTTATTATTATTATTATTATTTAAAAACGAATTTGAATAATTTAGAGTGAATTCGAGTAAAAATTATCGTTCGAATAATCTTTTTTGATTTAACATTGTATAATCTCTTTCGGATTTAAATGTATTTTTGTTTCATAAAATCAGTAGTAAAGCTTACTGACGCGTAGAGAGAAAAAAAATTTACACGTGCTAATTTAAAACCACGCGATATCGATTTATATTTGAAACTGATGCACTTAGTCTCTCGGTTGTAATCTAATAAAGATCAAAGCAGAAATTTAACACACTGCCACAATATATTTTCGTTATTTTTATTAAATAAAAGCGTATATTATTTTTTACGCGAAATTTTAAAACGATTAGCGGTAAAAAAAAATAAATTATAAAATATTAACAGCGCCTCCTCTAAATAAATAAACTAAATTTAAAAATTATTATAATATAAGTTAATTTTAAACAATAATAGATTCTATAAAAACATTCTAAATTAATTACACAGAAATCGTATTAGTGGAAAATTAAATAAATGCTAATTTTAAAAATTTCTAGAAATATTTTTTTACGCAAAACCGGAAACGGAAGTAACGTAAATAAAACTGTTAATTTCACGTTTTTGTAGTAATTAGCCATGCTGTGACCAAAACTAGTCCTGAAGGGAGTAACACAAACAGGCGGTTTGCGCAGATGCTATTGACAAAATTCAATTCGCGTTGGGAGAAACAACCCATGCAGAAATCTCCGTGCTCTTCTAATATATATAAGTAGTGCATATTACCGGAAAGGATCGCCTTATCGGTTAGTAACCATGGCTGGAGGTATGTGGTTCATTGTATCGGTTCCTACGGAAAGTTACGAAAAACAATGCATAGATAACGCGGCAAAGAAGAATGATGTTGAAGGATCTTATCAAACTTTGTCGGCCTACACGACGCCGAGCACCGAAACATTTTCCACTGCTTACACTCATTCAGGTGAGTTTCACTCGTGTGTAAACAAAACATGTTGCTATGTTATTCGAATGCCTGTGTTATCGTTTGATAGAAACGTGTCAATGAGATAATTTTAATCTATTTTTCGCTTGATAAATATGGAGAGAATAAGGATTTACAATAACCGGTTATAATACGCATCCACGGGTTTATTTCAAGGTTATAATCTCAGCAGGATCTGATTTTGTCTGACATAAATATACATAATTCATTTCAGATTCATATTTCGCTGGTAATTCGCTTCACGTTAGAGAAACAAAGACAATAAGTTATAATTTTAATCTTGTTTAAACAAATTGATTTAAATAAAATGTAAAATTTGCTATAGTAATGACATTTTTAATGATTAATACTCAACAATTATATATGGACGATGAATAAAAAGTAAATGGTCCGGTAATTTGAAAACAAAAACTTTGAATTATAATAAAAATTAAAGTTGAGTTTTTTGGTGTAATTTTAATTTACTTTTTTAACCATGATTTATAGCATTTTTAATGTCCTTAAAGTCTTGACATAGGTGAAAATACATATTTTCAAGAAGTGGAATTTATTTAAAACATTTTATTCAATAGGAATATTAAATAATGTCTTTGAGATGATTTCCGTTGTTTTCAGAAAAAGAAGTCAAGGTGGCTAAGGTTCGGTGGATGAGACCACTGCACTTGACCACTTCTATGCATGTGGTTGGTAGACGTGAACAATATGACCATCCTTCCTGTACCAGCTTGATTCTTTCCTCTTTCAACAAAGCCGTACTTAATCTGTGGGGGGAAAAATTATAGTTGAGATTTCCCATGTGTCCAGACTTTAGGGACACCATGTGTAATATCAGAAATTTATGTAAATTAATTTGATAGATTGTGGTATGATGAAACACGTTAAAAGAAATTTTTCACATAAAAATTTTGATTCTCCAATTTTAAGAAATATCTATCAGCGGGTTGTTTATAGTGCTGTAGCATCCTCTTAATATTGAAGCAATCAGTTTTGTCACTTTAAAAGAAAAATAAATATAATAATGCATATTGCATGACTTTGATTTGATTAGTTACCTAAAATAATTAAGCACAATCGATAATTAAGTAATGTTCTCTGAAAAATGACGAGATGTGTCTTGGTCCTGTTCAAATTTGCCTTGAGCAACATCCATATTCTCAAAATCTTGGATATACCACTGCTGTTTAACCAAAAGTAACTTCTTTCTAAAAATGATTATAATCTTATTCATTTTAGATGGATTTTCTTGTATTTAATAAAAATCAAATTAAAACTAAAATTTATTTTTTACATGTAGATTATGATTGATAAATACTCATCATTTATAATCTAAAAACAAAAGTGATTTAGAGATACATTAATCATTTAAATGTAGTTCAAATTTATATAAATTCATATCAATAGTAATTACTTTTTTATATTTTTTATTAACTTATAAGTTTTTTATTTACTTAAAAGGGTTTTCTAGTAGGATTGGAAGAAGCTGAAAACAGAATTACTTTTTTATAAAATGATAATGATATGAAAATATTTTTTAATAAACATTATATTTAAAGAGACTTGTCCTGTAACTAGTATACTGATAACTAAAAACAAGCAAGTTACATAATTATTTGGAGTGTGCAATATACAAAGAATTGTATAAAATCAACACAACAAAAATATAATTAATAAATACAATTTAATCAAATTCCACAGAATAAAATTTTACTTAGAAATATTATATAATAATTCTGGAGATATTTATTTATATATTATATTATTTTGAAATACTGAGTAAAAAAAATTGAAGAAAATAAATATTTACATGTTTAAAATTTTAAAAATAAAAATTAGTTTTCAAGTTTTAGATTAAAATATTTTTAGATATAAAATAAAAATAATTATAACAGATTAATTTGCAAAATAAAAGATAAATTTAAAAAGAAAAATAATGAGACAGTTTTTGGATATAATTAGATGATGAAGCAGCAAATATTACAAGTGTTCTAAAATTGATTTAATCTCCTGGTTAAGCTTCTTGATTTGTGTAATATAAAACATTTTATCATATTAATACAAATTAATGTAAAAAGAATTAAAACAATTAAAATGTATTGATTTAGCTTCTGTAAATACTTGTTGTATTTAATTATGAGTATATAATGTATATATTTTAAATGTCCTTACTAAATGAATGAATATAAAAATAAAAGAATGATAAATGTAAAAATGGATAATAATAATTTTTGCTAATATTTCTAGCAAATATTTATTGTTTTTATATTATAATATACAAAATAATTTCAAGCATGCAAAATCCTTGATTTTATACTTTTAAAAATCTTTCCATCTGATTTAAAACTTGTATTATGAAAACAGGTTAAGAAAATAACTGTTGATGAATATATTAATATAAGTGGAATTTATAAAAAAAAATTTATGTTAATTGAAATCAGTTATGTATACATTTTATTTTAAGGAATAAACAAGTTATTTTAATTTATTTATGAATTATAAATTAAATTGAGCTAAATCATTCATTTTAATGTTCTATCAAATTATAACTTATAAAATTTCATTAATCAACCATTATTTTTATTTATTTTTTATCATCATTGTGCAATAATGAAATAAGTAAGTTATCATAAATGACCTTAGAGGTTTATGCACTGATATATATTATTTACAATATGATTTTCTAAGATAACTATACTTAAAATCTCAGTCTTCTAGATTTATGAGGAATTTTTGATACATAGATTTTGAAATTGTTATTTTATATCAGCAAATATTTTAAAATAATTTTATATATATATCAATAATATATATTAGTTTTTTATCTTAAAAATAACTTCATAAATATAGCAGCATAATAGAACATGTCTTGCTTTAAGATATTTTACAAAGTAAAACATCTTTGTTAATATGACACTTATTAATTAAATTATTATTATTATTATTGAGTTTGGTAGTTGTCTTGCACTTAAGGAGATTTTTTGTTATCCTTTTGCATCATTTTTTTTAGGTCTAGCAGTATTGTGCATTCAATAAATAGTGTTAATATGCAGTGCTTTCAACTATCCACTTTTTATGTGGACAATTAGCTTTTCAAGAGTGTTTACTTGTATGTCTGCTATGTTCAGCATTTGTCTGCTTCCAAAAATCATTAGTCTTTTAAAACATTGTTTTGTTTTATACTTTGTTTTAATAAAAATTTTTTGTGGAAATTGGATGATTTGTTCCCAAATGTCTTTAAGAGCTGAAGTCTGAAAAAGTTTTGCTACAAATTATACAAAATGACAGATATTTTCCATTAACTTCCTTATTTTGAGAATTCATATTTTAAAAATTTTGCCAAATATCAAATATTTCCTTTCTTTTTTTTTTACAATTGTTGTTGTTGGATAATTTATTTTTGTCATGTATTAGAACAGCGATTCCCAACCTGTGGTACGCGTACCCCTAGGGGTACGCGATAGGTTCTTTAGGGGTACAGAAAAAAGTTAGTTATTATGGCAGAAAAAATAATATATTATGTATCACAAAGTAATAGTATTAAAAAATTATTAGATAAAAAATGTTCCTTGCAACAATCACAACTTTATTATACATTTTTTCTTTTAGGTTTTTTTTTCTTTAATTTAAAGTTACAATATGTAAAATTAACAATACGGCTACTCACTAAATTTCTTAAATGAGGGGTACAATCTAGAGATTATGACATGTCACGGGGTACAATCTAGAGATATAGGTACATGTCACGGAGTACGCTAATGAAAAAAGGTTGGGAACCACTGTATTAGAAGAAGACATTAAACACACACAAATTCATTAATCTTATTTTTTGTTGGGCTGCAATTCTAAAAAATTGTAGGCTTGTAAATTTTCACTGTCGTCCGTCCATCCATTTGTCTTTTATTAATCTCAAGAATGGAGTTAGATAGATAAAATCTGAGACCAGATATGGAAACTTTAGTGGTAGGAGGCCCTGATTAACTATATATGAACTTCCAATGCAAACTGGATGTCACGTTATTTTAATTAAAAAATTGTCTTCTGAAAGCAGTTAATAGATGACTGACACAACTCTATTGTTAAAGGAAAGGTATGATGTACAGGGGAAAACAACTACTATTTTGAGTTAAAGCATATATTTTAAATTAAATAAATTAAAAACATGATTAAAAATTGCAGTCTAGCATCGTGACGATGTCACAATAAATAATTGCTTGTTGATTATCAATCTTTCTCAATCAAGTGTTTCGTTATTTTATAAACATTACCGTGTTTCCCCGAAAATAAGACATCCGCAGAAAATAAGACCTAGCACAGATTTTGCTGAATTGCGAAATATAAGACCTCCCCCTGAAAGTAAGACCTAGCGAAGTTTTTTTTTTAGTCGTAACGGTCATCGACAGATGGTTGAAAGTAGCCGTTGGCTTTTTGAAAGTACAGCCACTGATTGGTCAGCAGACAATTATGCCACACGGCATGATTTGCATAAGACTATGGCTTGGGAATCACAGATTTGCATAGTGCTACGGTTCAGTAAGCACTAATTGGTCATCGAGTCCGATGTTGACGCTATAAAAAAGCGACAGTTCGACACACCTGATATACGTCATTCTCGTCTAAGTTCGACTTGGGAATTTTTTTGTTCAATAATAAATGTGAATTCTTCTTCCTGGAAAAAATAAGACATTCCCTGAAAATAAGACCTAGCGCATTTTTCAGAGCAAAAATTAATATAAGACACTGTCTTATTTTCGGGGAAACACGGTACGTGTGTTTATCAGGATGGTCGAGAAGTCTACTATCATGTGTGAGTGTAAAAGATCTCTGAGACAGGCTTTCCATCATTAACCTGTTTAAAAAATTATAAAAGTTTTTCTTATGGCAATGTCAAAAATTTCTTATAGTAAGTCATAACACATAATGAGTGGGAACCAAGTCCTCACAAAAAGTCCAAATGTTCTGTCTGTCATTTTTCTTTGGTCCGT